GGCCTTTTAACATAATAGCATATAAATAAGGGCTGCGGAAGCAAATACATGAAATATATATAGTCCAATGAGCTGTGAAGACATACATGAGACTGATAATTTTGAACTTTCATAACCATACGTGTGATCAAAACAAAATGCAACAATTAAGTCACTTCATGTATACACAACAGAAAACTTGTTCGCAAATCAAAAGGAACAAAAACCTTTACATCCCCAATACACATCCACGGGGCTTGACTCAAACCGGAACCTCCTCGGGAAGCACAAAGGTTGGCTGACAAAAACTGAAACTCCAGGTCCTCGACTCTGAGCCTGGTCACGTGCCTGATCACCTACATACGTAATATAAATAGTGAGTGGGAGCCCAGTGAATAATAACAGAGTAAAGGGTTAAATGAATGATGTCCTATAATTAAATCCGTACATAGAACCAATTCATATTTGTGTTCTCATTCAATGCGTATACAAAATTCAGAAATCATGTTTGATCATTCATAATTCATCCGTTAGCATTAATAGATCATATACAAAACATCATAGATCATACCTGTCAGTTCCATAGAGGAACCTCTGGCCGGGTATGGATAACTTACTAATTCCATAGAGAAACCTCCGGACTGGGTACGGATAACTTGTCAGTTCCATTAAGGAACCTCCGGTCCGGGTACAAATAGCATACTTGAATCTTAACATTAATGTCACAAATGTTTGCCAAAAGCGGACAATCATTCATAGCGTGAACATAACATTTCATAAAACAGATCTTATTTCATATCATAAAATAATTTAACTTTAACATAGCTTTACTTTGTCATTACTCACAGATAACCGGTGGCTTCGAATAGACGAGTAGAGTAGGCAATCACTTAACTTGAGGCGCGTGACCTATATAACATGATAGATACATACATTGAAACACACGCTCAGATTGTACGTAACTTATTTCATTTATTCTTAGTGTGTTTCTATCATTTATCCTCATCATAGCGTTTTGATCTTGGCCTAGGAATGCCTATGATGGAATGAGGATGCAAAAATGTACTTGAAAATATTTTTCAAAACTTACTGAAAACAGAGTCCACGCTCGAGCATAGCTTTCCTTGCTCGAGCGGACATGCAAAATGTGAGGGTTCGTTCGAGCGCAACTTCCTTTGCTCGAGCGGTCTACAAACTTTGAAAAAGTATTGGTTGTTTATTTTTCCCGCTCGACGCTTGCTTGACACTCGCTTAATCATGAGAGACATGCCCTCGCTTGAGCGCAACTATTGTCGTTCAAACGTGCTGTAAAACGTAAGGACTTTTGGGAGCATGCATCTCACGCTCGAGCCAGCCCTTAGTCGCTCGAGCGCAAGTGTGAGACACAGAGTGGTCGCTCGAGCGTGGAAGCAGAATTCTGGAATTTTTATAATTGTTTCCAAGCTTCAAAACTCAATCTTAAAGCATCAAGCTCGATTTTTCTGGCCCAAAACTTGAGGGAACATTGAGAAACTCATAAAACATCATGAATTAAGGATCATTTCAAGAAATCATGGCCCAATAGCTTGCCAATTGTGCAAAAATTCAACTTAAAATTTATAAATGTTCCATGAACATGACATGCATGAATTTCTTTGAACTTAATATTCTCAAAACATGATCAAATGCTACAAAACAACATGAAACTTGATGATTTTCCAAAATTAAGATGAATTCAAGACATGCATGAGGGAATTCTTGGAAATTAAACTCAAAGTATGAAAAAACATGCATGCATGCATGGTATGGCTCAATACTCTTCATTTCTAACTCAATTCTTACATTAATCATCTAAATTCTCTGGAGTTCATGTCTTACACTTCATAGTTGCTCAAACAAAGGGTTGAATTCTTACCTAAACTTGTCAAGATGAGAGTTAGGAGTTTGATCCTTGAGTTCCTAAGTCCAAATTCACAAGCTCTTTAGCAATCCTTATAATTGAACTTAACTTCTCTTCTTTCTTCCTCTCTCACGTTTTGATGTTCAATTAAAAGGAAATGGAAGTGTAAAAACAATGTTTAGGAGTCAATGAAATGGCCTTATATAGGCTTGACTAATAAATTCATTAACTTTGGACTTAATTGAGCATTAATCATTTTAATTATTTCGTTCCGAATCGAATTTTAATTAAACTTACCATAATGTTCTAAAAATTCTAAATAACACATAAATCAAGTCAATTTCTAATCGGATGCCAATAAGGCCTTCAATTTGCAAACCGAATAAAAACATGAACAAATCTTTTTACATTAAATAGATATAAACACAAAATAATACAATGCACATGTAATTAACTCGGGATTTTTTCTTAATTACTTGTTAGGCATACTTAAGCATAAATTAATGCTAATCATGGGACAGGGTTGTTACAGTCATTCCCCCTCAAAAAGTTTGGTTCTCCAAACTCGAATTACCTTCATTCTGGAAAAACACCGGATTCAGAGGAAACAACTCAAGGTATCTTCTCATCATGTCTTCTTCTGTCTACCAAGTTGCATAAATTCTTCCATGATTCTGCCAATCAGCCTTCACTAACGGAATTTCCTTGTTTCTCAATATTTTGATTCGGTGGTTCACAATTTGCATTGGCCTCTCCTCGTATGTATAATCATCTTTTAGAAGTACATGAGTCGGCTCAATCATATATGGTGGATCTCTCAAATAATCCCAAAGCATAGAAACATGAAAGACATTGTGCATGTTTTCCATCATTGGAGGTAAGGCTACTCGGTATGTTACTAAATTAATCTTCTCAAGAATCTCATATGGCCTAACATATCTTGGCGCCAACTTGTCCTTAACGCCAAACCAGGTTTGCCCTTTCATAGAAGTCACCTTTTATGAACACATGATCACCAACTTCATACTCCTTATCCCTTCTCCGGACATCCGTATAACTCTTTTGTCGGCTCTGTGTGATTCTTAGGCATTGTTGAATCAGTTTCACTTTCTCAGTTGTTTTTTACACCAGTTCTGGTCCCAATAATGGTCTATCACCTACCTCGGCCCAACAGATCGAAGATCGGCATTTTCTTCCATACAAAGCTTCGTAAGGAGCCATACCGATACTTGAATGGTAGCTGTTATTATACACAAACTCGGCTAATGGTAAGTAAGTTTTCCAACTGACTTGAAAGTCTAGAGCACACATTTGTAACAAGTCTTTCAACGTTTAAATGGTCCGTTTAGATTGGGTATCTGTCTGTGGGTGATAAGCACTGCTTAGCCTCAATTCAGTTTTCAGAGCTTACTGTAGACTTTGCCAGATTCTTGAAATAAACTTAGGATCTCTATCAGACACAATAGATACTGGCACGCCATATCTCACAATCTCATTAACGTACAAGGTAGCCAGCTTATTCGCATTATACAATGATTTAACGGGTAAGAAATGTAGGGCTAGTCGTATCTGAAAGGAATATGAAAAGTTGAGCTACAATTAGTAATGAGTTGTGCTATATAAAATATATTTTTTATTAAATTTAATAATTAAAATATTATATTTTTTCTTATTGATTACAAATAAAAAATAAATTTTAAAATTTAAATTTAAATTAATAAAATTAAAAATTCATATATTATTTTGTTATAAGATTCAAAATTTTTCACACACATATATATATATATATATATGTATTTTTAATCATAAAGACTAGCGGTGGTAATTTAGACCGCGATCTCCCGCCAAAGGGCCGCAGCATAACCTGCTCAGCCTATAAATGGCTCCATTTTCGTTGCTCTCACCATTTTGTTTGGCCTCCACAGCAAAGCTTATTATTGCTTTGCAAGGTGACCCTTTCTCTCTCTCTCTTGATTGAATTGAAGCTATGAACTTCGAGAAGAGAAACTCTCTGCAAGCTTTAACGAATATGCATATACTTTAATACAAATTATGAGGTATATACATGTTTGATCTGATGAATCGAGGAATTCTACATCGTTTCTTCATATTTTCAATCGCTTATACACTTGAAAATCTGCTCGAATTGGCGTTGACATCATTGCCATTGGCATCTAATACAGTTTGATCTTGAGATCAAACAACTTACAAACACTTTCTAAGATGGTTAGGAGAACGTGAATCGGAATCTACAAAGCATTTGCAACAAATCTGTTCCAGTTCGTAGTTTGAGAGTTCTAGACGTCCTTCGGTTTCAAATTCGTGATTATTGTAGCTAATTCAGTGAATTATGACTCGAAGAAGCAGATCTTCGTGAATTCTATAATCTATTCGATATGTGACTCATTATAAACAGCGATTTTCTGTCTCTGATTTCACTTATTTTGAGGAAAAACGGACACGAATTTTGTCTTCATAGCGTGACGAACCTTATGTAGATCTTGGCAGCATTTTCTAAGTCAAATTAATGCGTAATGGAACAGATTTTGTTAACTCAGTTAGAATGTTGAGGAGGCTTTACAAGTTACTCTCCTTGCAATATTTTCGAATTTTTCTCACTGGTTTTGGGGCGTAAAGGACTTTTGATTGGGTCAATACTATCAACTGTTTGTTAATTTTGAGAATTTTGACTTCTGATTTGTTTCTATGTGCATAATGAAAATAATATGTAAGAATCAGATGTTATATAGTTTATCTTACTTTCGCATTGATTTTTACACTTGGAATGCATGAATATAGATTGTTACACTTTGAATGTTTGAAGGTGTCATGTGCTTCTTTCTACACGGTTTCTATTGTTTTGGTTTTTTTTTGTTAATGTATCCTCACTTCTTTTCTATGTCAAATATTTTGAGTCCCTCAGTTTAGGATCAATGTCAGTTATAGTTAAATGCAACTGACAGTTTCTATGCCAATGATCAAAACTTAATTTTCATGGATTGCTTTGATCCTTTTTCTATATTATGTGTTTCTGAAGTGATTATCCTACAGTATTTAGTGTTCTATATTAAATGAACACAAGTTTAAGATAAATAGATTTTCTCTTTTTGTTTCCTCAGTTGATTGATAAATGAGCTCGATTATGGATCCATATGCACTGAAGTCCGTTTCAGATTTACCTGCTCCCTTCCGTTCAATTTTTGGTTTCAGGTAATTTAGTTAAGTTGGTATTGGAATTTGATGGTTGACCATTATGTTGGAGTCATGATTTATATGTAGAATTTATTTACAGTTTTTTTTTTCTTATTTATATGAGAGATTGAATTTTCAGATGTGGTTATTACTTTTGACCAAAATATTCAACCAAGAAAATGAGTTCATAAAACATTTGAAATTTTAACTTTTATTTCTAACAGCTTGCATGTGGCCATCCTTTTGGCATCTTTTGGCTTTAGATTTTTCCTTACATTGATTTTCAATTATTTTAACTGTTTTGTTAAGTTTCATAAACGTGTAACAACTCAGATGGATGCATGCTAAATTTATGCAATAATTTTTGCCTTTCTTTAATATATGTATCTAAATTTTCATAACATCAATCATGTATGATGCTAAATTTTCTTTAGGGAATTGACCCACAATGCCTAAAATATTGTTCTGTTGCTATACATGGTGTAATTGGTATTGTTTCTGCATTTGTATTTGTTGTACAGGTACTTTAACTCGCTGCAGAGTGAATGCTTTTCTGCCTGTTTCCAATCCGATGTAAATATGGTCATTTCAGCACCAACTGGAAGTGGAAAAACAGTACTTTTTGAGCTTTGCATTTTGAGACTGCTGTCAAGGTTCATCTCTGCAGAGGGAAGATTTATTCACTTAAAGGGAATGCTCAAAACAGTAGGCTTTCTACAATTTTGTATATGGAAAAATTTTAGATGTTTATTTAAACACTGAAAAGTTCAGAAGATTATTGATTTCACACCACCAGGACACCTACGGATGTTTTTTATTTCATTTACTTTGTATTGTTGTTTGGTTTTGGGAATAAACTCCTTATGTTGTGGAAGGAATTTTATTATTATTTGATTTTATTTGATTTATATACATTTATATAAATATATTTTTAGGGTCTATTATACCTTATTGTCTGACTAATGAGGTCTATTATAATTGTTAAATCCATAATTGCTTCAACAGTTGAAATATTTTTCTGTACGCTTTCACTTTTATCAGTGATTGGAAAAGCGATGTATCTTACAAAACAATTACAGTAGTATTTAGTCCTTACATAGGTTTTTCCATGATTTTATATATCTGTTGTGTTACATAAGGTTTGAACAAAATATATATTGTCTCTCTGCACCATTAGTAAGTTGTTGTACCTGGTTTCTGCTTATTTCCAAGTGGTGTGCAGATCTATATAGCCCCATCTAAGGCTTTGGTACAAGAGAAGCTGCGGGATTGGAACCAGAAGCTTGGGTCATGGGGCATAAATTGCCTAGAACTGACAGGTGACAACGAATCTTACAACATAAGGAACATACAAGAAGCAGACGTTATTGTAACCACTCCTGAGGTTGGTATGCAGATGAATATCTGGATATTATTTTAAAAAATATCTTCTCTTATTTTTTTATTTTTGTAACTTGTTTGCTTCTGAACCTTATTGTCGGGGAGTGGGGGGACTTGTTCCTGGAGCATGGTTTAGTAAGCTGCCTGTACTTTCTGCAGAAGTTTGATGCAGTGACTCGGTATCGCATAAAAGATGGTGGCTTGAGCTTTTTCAGTGATATAGCACTTGTGCTCATTGATGAAGTTCACTTGTTGAATGAACCACGTGGAGCAGCTTTGGAGGCAATAGTTTGTAGAATAAAAATGCTTTCTCGTAATCCTGAAATGAAAGCAAGTCCTCTGGCTCATGTCCGTTTCGTTGCTGTTTCTGCCACTATCCCAAATATTGGTGACCTTGGTAACTTTCAGATTTGATATATTGTCGTCCTTGAAAAAATTAAACACGATTTCAAATTTGTTGTTGGATCTTTAACAAAATTTTATTGACACAATACATTTAACTTTTGCAGCTGAATGGCTTATGGTTCCTATCCAAGGAATCAAAAAGTATGTTTAAATGCTGGTTTTTGTGGTATATGCTTCTTAATCTTTAATGTGGTATATGCTTCTTAATCTTTAATGTCAGTACCCATCCAGTTCTATTTGCTCCCCCCAATTATTTTCACAGGTTTGGTGAAGAAATGAGACCTGTAAAGCTGACTACCAAAGTCTTTGGTACACATAACATCCTCAATATTTCCACTCTCAATTTAGTTATTCTGAAGTTTGTCTATACCTTAAATTCAGTATATTATATGTTATAGGAGAATGATAAACTTAAACCATACCGAGTTCTTTTTGGATTGTTCCATATGTATGGCGATCTAGTTGACTATGGAAATTGTTTATTATCATATGTGTGTGTGTGTGTGTAATTAACTGATAACTTATTTTTCTTTTCAATCTCTCTTTCATGGCAACCCTTTCTTGCAGGGTACACCCCTGCAAAAAATGACTTCCTATTTGAAAAAGTGAGTGTTCATATCTTTATGTTTTTCATCCCTGCTACTAAAGTTTTGAGTAGTCTAAATATTTGTTTCTGTTCTAAAAACTGGTACCGCTGGGAAACAATAATTTTGAAAGTCATTGTTTGATGAGTCTTCTTCACTCTCATTCTTTCTGACGTTTTACCCTTTCATTGCATTTTCCAGCGCCTTCAAAACTATATTTTCGGTAAGCGGAGACTAATGGACCAACTCATCAACACATTTTCCTTCTATTTATGTCTGATCACATCTGTAATGAATTTAAAATTTATAAATTGAAGTATCATGAAGTACTTAAAAAGCAAATTCGAATTGCAGATCTTCTCATGCAATATTCTAGAGCGAAATCTGCCATGATCTTTTGTTCAACAAGAAAAGGAGCCCAAGAAGCAGCACAGCGACTATCTCAGACCGCAATGACCTTTGGTCATTCTAATCCATTCATTAAAGACAGAGAACAGCAGGAAAGACTAAGGGAAGCTTCACTATTATGTAGTGACAAACAAATGCAATCATATATCCTCTACGGTGGTATGTGCTAAATTAGCTTGAATGTTTGCTGCAATAACTGTTGCAATGTTGTGTCCTGGATTTGACTTTAAAATGAGTTTTACAATGTTGTTTTTTTATTTCATTTCCTGTTTGCAGTTGGTTACCACAATGGTGGGCTTTGTCTGAAGGATCGGAACCTCATTGAAGGCCTTTTTCTTAATGGTGATCTTCAAGTTCTGTGCACTACAAATACTCTTGCCCATGGAATCAACCTACCAGCACATACAGTAGTGATCAAATCAACACAGCATTTGTATGTTGAACAAGTTTTCCGATAACAATTCTATTAAAGTTATAACATTCTTTCTGTATTTAATCCAATGTAACTTGCTTCTTTCCAGCAACAAGGAGAAGGGGCTCTATATGGAATATGACCGATCAATGATACTACAGGTGTTTGAATTATGTTTGATGTAATTAGTGAAAAATCAAATGGATGTTTTTGTGATCAATGAGCATGCCAGTTCTTTTGATGTTCTTCAGCTCATACATCTACATGCTTGTCTTTGTTCTCACAATTCACATGCTAACCACCTTTTTTACTCAAAAGTTACTTTGCTCTTTCTTTAATGCAGATGTCTGGGAGAGCAGGTCGTCCACCTTTTGATGATACAGGAATGGTTATAATTATGACAAGGAGAGAAACAGTAATTAGCTCTCTCTCTCTGTCTCTCATGCACACTATTGTTTTTGAAATTGTTTTGCTTCTCTCGTAGTTGAGTTAGTTCTTATTGAACTAGTGTTGGGGCTTGTCAAAATCTCCTATATTTTTTATTTTGTACACGCGCGCGCACACACACACACACATGAAGATATAACATAATTACTTGTGTTTGCTTTTACATGATGTTAGGTCCATTTGTATCAGAATCTTTTGAGTGGTTGTGAAATGGTTGAATCACAGTACGTCTATAACTTTGAACTTATATTGATCTGGTGCTCTAAAATATTTGATTTATGGTGTTAAACGTTATGTTTATCATCTAATAACTAGGTTTATACGTTTTCCTGCTTCCTCAGATTGCTTTCATGCATAACGGAGCATCTTACTGCGGAAGTTGTGCAACTCACCATTTCAGATATAACACGGGCAATTGAATGGATGAAGTGTTCATACTTATATGTCAGAATGAAAAAGGCACGTTCTAGTGGACACACCTTGGAGAATTTTTTTGGATTTTATAATCTATTCAATTGCATATCTGAAACTTCTTGTGCAAAATCAGAACCCTGAAAATTATGCAATAAAGAAAGGGATTCCTAGTGACCGTATAGAGAAGCACATGCAAGGTAATTATGATGAATACACTGATAAAGTTCATAGGATCTTTCGTTTTTTTTTTGTTGCTTGATTCATCTTATGTACTGCCAGAGATTTGTGTTCAGAAAGTTAATGAGTTATCGAGAAATCAAATGATCTGGACTGATGAAGATGGTTTCCTCTTGAAGCCGCTTGGTAAATATTTTGATAATTTCATGTTTGACAAAATAATTTTAAAAATCTGAACTTTCTGCTCTTTCTGTATTCAGAGCCCGGAAGGCTGATGACGAAGTATTATTTGAGATTCGACACCATGAAAAACATTATGCTGGCCCCTGCGGACTGCAGTGTAGAAGATGCTCTCCATGTTGTCTGCCGAGCTGAAGAAATTGCCTGTATGTATCATATACTGGCACCACATGGATAAGTAATTTCGAAAAGGTGAAGGAATGACATGTTATTTGCTTGGAAATGAAGGGATACAGCTCAGGCGCAATGAAAAGAAGCTTTTAAATGATATAAATACTGACAAAGATGGCCGGCTTCGCTTTCACATCCTTGGAGATAATAAAAAGAGGAAAAAGCGTATCCAAACCAGGGAGGAGAAGATATTTCTTTTAGCAAATGACTGCTTGACTGGGGATCCTTCATTGCATGACTTATCCATGAGCCAGGTTTCACTAGCTTGAATTACACTAATAAATTATGTAGTAGTTTAATATGATCAAAGCTTTGTTCACAAAATAATGAACTGGTGTGCTATGTCATAGGACATGAATTCTATATGCTCAAATGGATGTAGAATTGCCAAGTGCATGAAGGAGTATTTTATTTATAAAAAGAATTACAAAGGAGCTTTAAACTCAACCCTTCTAGCCAAATCCTTTCATCAAAAACTCTGGGATGACAGCCCATACTTGCTGAAACAATTACCTGGCATTGGAATGGTGACTGCTAAGGTTATGTTCATTGACTTGTCACTTGCTACATGACTGCATTTGATTTCTTAATTTGAATACACCAATTCCAATTTTTCAGTCTCTAACATCCAAAATGCTGTACTCAGGCACTTCAATCCATGGGAGTAAAGTCATTTGAGACCCTTTGTGAAGCTGATCCAAGGAAAATAGAAATAATCACTGGTCGAAAATACCCATTTGGGAATCATATAAAGGAGTCACTGCGGTCGCTACCCCCCAAAATTGAGATGAAGCTTGAGGAAACTCAATGCCAAAGGCAAGGGAAGTCCAAACTAGTAGTAACATTGACTAGACTATCAGAATCGGCTCAATCAAACAAACGACACTATGCTGATATGGTAGCAGACAGGAAATTTCAATTGCATTTGCTTCTCAAGCTTATTTTTGAAATCTGCATTTATATTGTATTGATTTGCTAATAAATCATTTTAACAAAATGCTACTGAGATTTTTTTATTTTATTTTTGGTTCTGACAGGTTGTTGCTTTAGAAGAAGATAACCAGATTCTGTTTCATGAGAAAATAAGGTGATGTTGACTTAATTCTTTAAAGGGCGTGATTGGACATTAGGATAGTTTTGCACTTTCGGGTCCTTATTAAAACAATAGTCTGGTGTGGTTAGTTATCTAGGTAGTCCAATCAAGGTAGCCTTCCCGACTCCAAATTTAGACGTTGAGTTTCCATACTTGTGGCTCTTACTTTGGCCCGGGAAACTTCCTAGATAGTCCGCATTTATTTGGTTGTCTTGTCTGAATGTTAAACCCCGAAGTATCATTACTTGATTTAATTGAATATGTCATTATTCTCTGTCAATATACTAAATTACATTCCTTGAATTGGTTGCAGCAGAGTGGATGAGTTTTCCAGGCAAGAAAACTTTAATTCCCTGATCCTTTCTTCTTCTTCATTTGATTTTATTTTATTTTCAATAAAGACAATTAGTGAATTGGGTACTCCTATGGCTTAGAGCATCCTTACCAGCCTACTTAAATTTTATCCTAAAATATTATTAAAAAATTCATTCCCTATTTTAGGAATCACTTTTTCATCTATTTTTCCCAACAAACTCATTCATTCCCTATTTTAGGAATCACTTTTTCATCTATTTTTCCCAACAAACTCCCTATTCTTTCTCTATTCTATTAACAAACTCTCTACTTTTTTCTCTATTCTATTAAAATATAATTTTTAATTATAAATTTAAAAAAAATAAAAATCTTAAATGTGTACTGCAGTCCCTAAACAAAACAAAGCCAGAAAAAGAGAAAAAAAAATATAAGGGAGCTACAGCAACTCCCTACAAATAGGGAGGCACTGTAGCAATTCTTATTTTAGCAAAATGTTTAAGGGTGCTGATGGAAGTATATAGGGAGCCATCAACCACTTAAAATAGGTAAAAAGGGGGTTTAGGGGTTCTGCTGGTGATGCTCAACTTTCAAAGGACTCACCTTAATCATGTTGTCTCTGTAATCTATAAATGGATCCAGAGTGTAATTTTTTAATTGTTTGAGGTTGTTGGTTTTCTCTGCAGCCCTTATAGTGCAACCATTCTGGTGTCAAGCCCTCAGCAAGAAAAGATGACTGCTAAGGCAGACATGATTTTTGAAGAATTCAGGTGCTGATGGAAGTATATAGGGAGTCATCAACCCCTTAAAATAGTTAAGAAGGGGGTTTAGGGGTTCTGCTGGTGATGCTCAACTTTCAAAGGACTTACCTTAATCATGTTGTCTCTGTAATCTATAAATGGATCCAGAGTGTAATTTTTTAATTGTTTGAGGTTGTTGGTTTTCTCTGCAGCCCTTATAGTGCAACCATTCTGGTGTCAAGCCCTCAGCAAGAAAAGATGACTGCTAAGGCAGACATGATTTTTGAAGAATTCAGTATGCTTCCGCCATGATTAGCAGATGTGTAGTTTCACAGTTACTTGTTCTAATTGTTGTTTGTCTAAAACCATGCATACCGATATTCATGCAGTAGGAATTGATCTCCACCAAAAATACATATTAAGGAAGATGACTGACTCAAACATGATCCACAAGCTTGGAATTAAGCATCTGTCCTCTTTTCCTCAGCCCAAGGATGTGTGCATTATAGAAGACGATGACAAAGAATATACATCTTGTGCTCCAACTGAAGCGTTTCGCAATTCAAGTAAATCCAAAGGAAAAATTGATAGCATGTGAGTGCTTTTTCTTGCTTTTATGTACATATTTTATTAAATTATTGTATATGTATATTAATTATAACTGTTGGCCCTGCAGGCCCAGTTTCAACCTCCTAGATGAGGAGTCAGAAGAAGGTATAGACTGAAGACAATCCGGTACATTTTCATATATTTATATGCCTTTTCTCACCGGCTTAACATATCTTAAATTACAGAAGGTGGGCCTAGTTTTGAAACCGGAGACAGTGAATGCAAAATTATAAACCAAAGAACAGTGTTTGACCACATACGTGAAAAAGCCAAGAGCTTTCCTAACTTGGCTGCATCACCTAATGCATGCCCCCCGTCATCAGAGACCTTGCTCCTCATCAGAAAACGCACTCATGAGAAACATCTCGAACACAACAATGCCATAGAAGTTTTGGAGGAAACAGAGGGAAATAAAATTCCACGTTCAAATTTGCTCATTCCATCTTCAGAACACAGAGAACAACATAGAGATGACATTGACAAAGCCTCTACTCCAAATTCCCCTATATGCTTCGGTACTATTTACCCTATATAGCTCAGATGCTACTGGGTATATTACTCTTTGCTTCTTATTAGGATTTTAACCTCTTAACGTTATTTACTGAAGGCAAGCTTTGTCTTGAATCTAAAGAGAGCACATCCAAGACCTTAACTGAAGAAACAATATTTGAACACATACATAAAAAGGCTAAGAACTTCTCAACGGTCAATAAATGGAAATTCTTGGAGCCTGAACCATCTATCACAACAAAAGAACTCTTCACCAAGAACCAGATCGAGTCCAAGAATGCTGCTTTTGATATGTTGGAGCCGAAGCTTTCAGATTCAGAACCCATGGAGAAGGAAGGCTTACAGGCTATAAAATACGATCTGCTTTCTCAAAGCACCCGTGGTGCATTTGGAAGGAGTGATCAAACATCATTCAAAATTCCAGCTCTCAGTAACCAAATATTAGACAATGAATTCAGCTTCGAAGGCCCGGGAATCTCCATAGAAAGCAGTGGGAAACAGTCATGCTCTCCTAGTTTATCAAGAAGGCAGTGCTGTTCGAAGACAACCACAAGCGAAATCAAGGAAGCGGATTCCTTTCTTGGGTTTAAGAGTGTGTTTTCATTTCTCTGAGTGCTTCTACACTGCATAAGATACACATTCCTTTCAAGAGTTTCTTATTTCTTGCTCACATTGAGAAATGTTTACTGTTCTTAGTGCCTTGGTATGACAATTTCAAGAGCAAAGTGAATTCTCTCTTTGGTTCGTCCTGATACTGATAGTAACTTCATGACTTGGCTTTTGACAGTATTGGCTTTTGCATATTCATCAGTACTGTTTTTGAAAATCATTTTTTCTTTTTGGGGTTTCGTTTTCAAAAGCAGAAATGGGACAATCAAGAAAACGCATTTGAAAGGGCCTTAACAATTTGTCTTCAAAATTAGGCTCTGTTGGGTTTGATTTTCAGAATCTAATTTTTAAATTTTTTGAAAAAAACTAAAAGCTAAATTTAATGAAAAATATAGTAAAAAAAAAAAAAAAATACCATCATTCTCGTATGGCTCTACCTTTTGGGGGCAAAAGTAATTTTAAAAATATATTTTTGATATTTATTTTTGTCAAATTAATTTTCTTTTTTGAGAAAAATTTCAAAAGTTCCATTATGAAATTAAAACCAAATAAAAGTCTTATTACTTAAACAAAATGTTTGGCAAGTGAACACTGAGTAGTAAACAAATAAAATTATTCAAAGCTCAATTTGTTAAGATTCCTATCATTTCACCTTGTAGCATTTAAAAAAAAAAAAAAAACCCCTTAAAATTCATTTCAAATTTGACAAGATAAAAAAATAAAGTTAAAATACATTTTCCAAGCGAAACGTACGTAACCCAATGAGAGAGAGAGAGTTACAGCTGAAAGGCGGTTACCCATGCGTTGCTAAAATAAAAATGTTGTTCAAAAGCGTCATCCTACGGTTGTAGATAAAGATTTACAACTTGATGAGTCAACTGACCATAAATGATACACCGAGGCATAATGTACTGTGTGCTGAAATCACACTCGATTATTGCCGTCACCTCCACGCCTTCATTACCCTGAAATCGCGAAGCGTCTAGTCTACTGTGGTAAAACCCTCTTCTTTTAGCTTTCTCGGTGGGTTCTCTCTATAACAGATTAGCGATCAAAGGTACTTCATTTTAACGAATTTTTAATTTTCGTTTTAATATTCTGTTTGGTTCACGAGAAAACAGAGGAAAAGAGGTAACAGAGCAAACATTGAGATTACGGAGAAAAAGAAAAAAGAAAAAAGAAAAAAGTTGCATGATGCAAATGCTGTTTAAATTGGGTAATTGAAAAAAAATAAATAGATTCATATGTAATTTATATCTGTTAGTCCACCGCTGCATCATATTGTTATGTATGTGACTATTGCATACTGATCATAAAAATTTGTTGCTCAGAATTGTTTATTTTTGTTTCTATGTGTGCAATAGCATGTTTGCAAAACCATTTACTGGGTTTAGATACTTTGTGATGAAATCTTTACATCACAAATATAAAAAATTATTGAGAATTGAATGAGAAATTACCCTATGAAGTTAGAGTTAATGAGGTTTATAACTTTTGCCTTTATTGCAAAGTTTAATAGTACATTAATGGGGTTTGTAACTCCTGCCTTTATTGCAGAGGTTAATGGTGCATTAGTGACCAGCCATAAAGGCTGGAGGCTTCTCCTCTCTCCTCTATATATGTATAAATTGAGACCCTCCTGTCAAGTCTCAAACACATAAATTGTTTCTTCCATTCTTTAGTCAGTTTGCTAGACATTTCTTACTGTGAGAGAGTGCTGCCATTGTCGGTTCGCCAAAACTAATAGAAGGTGCTTTTGAGTTAGCCGGTTTAAAACCATCTTATCTCTCCAGCACACACTATGGTATCACACAGAATTTGATTTGATTTCTTGTTTTCATATTCAGATTAAATATGTTCTTATATTAGTCTTGTTCCATGTTTATGCTCTATGATGTAATTTCTCAAGTATGATTTTATTTGATATTCTTTTAGTTAATTTAATAAAACATGAATTTATTTCTTTTGTTTCAATTACCCAATTTAAACAACAGAAAATGGTTAAAACCTCTAGGCCAAGTACTCAACAGACTCTCTCAGCTTGAACTTGTTGAGCACTCTTCTTTTGCAAGTTGTTAATGATGAGTTCTTCTCAAGGGGTTTATATAATTTGATATCAGGGTCAATCACCACATCTCGTGAAGTATGTAAATATATGTGATTTTTCAAAGTTGAGTTCTATGTGAAGGGTTTATATCTGGAAATCATTGATCTAGTGGTTAAATCTTGACCTATTAACTTCAATTTTTCCCTCACACAGGGACTCATTCAATGGGGGCTAACTGGTTGTACTGTTTTTCTGGTTATTCTCTTTCCTTCCATGGTTTTTTTTTTTTTATCTCTCTCTCTCTAAAAAAGGTGACAATTTTATAGCTAAATAAGCACAAGTGAAAATGTGTTCTTGTCATGCACAAAATGAAAGAAATTATTGAATGGGGGGTCTTAATGGAATGTTCTTTTCCTTCATCATGATTCATAATATATAAAATTAATGTTTTAGATTATTGGTCTTTTCTTGGTTCGATACAGCCTGTGTGGTTACATTGAGGAGGTAATGAACTTCTTGGCCACCACTATAACAGGATGATAGCTTTTACATTGAAAATGGACATTTAAAGCCTGGTTGCAAAGAATCTATCAATAACTAAATACTACATAGAAGATTGATTTTGTTGCCCCAGGCCACAGCTCAGAGGCTTAATTATTTTTGTTAGAATTTCTCATCTTTACCTTCACCTACTCCACTACACACTCCACTTCACCTACCTCCACTTCACCACACACTCCACTTCACCTAACCCACTATCACCTCCACCTACTACCACATTTTCTTCTATATATAGATTGTATAGGAATTGTAATCAATAAATCAATCAATCAATAATACATAAATTCTTACATGGTATCAGAGCCAGTTTAGCAAGGTTAAGAACTTAGTGATTCCGCTTCACCGGCGGACGGCAGCCTCGCCTTGGCCGTCCGCCGGACAAACCCAAATTTTCTGATTCTCTCTCTCTCCACAGATCACATCTTTGACTCGATCTCCATACATCAATAATGGCGATCGAGTTCACCCCCAAGACTCTCCACATTTCTCCGACAAAGCATCAATGACGTCGACCCCGAGAAACCAGATGGTATCACCATCACACAGATAGCACAGATCGGTCAAGATCCATAACACAAATCTTCGATCTCGATCACCATCACCTCAGCCCCACCATTGTCTCTAGAACAAAGACACATTCAGAATGTCGTCGTCACCAGATCCATCGCTGTGCAGACTGCCATTGCAGCGAAGTTATTTGGTTCGGAGAAGCATAATAATTCCTTCTTCTCCGACCAAAACTCCGGCGGCTCCCGTGACGGCTCTGTCTCCTCTAGTTGCAGCTGTCGCGCCACAGTCGAGTCCGGCACCAAACCCGATTCGACATCTGAGGAAAACCCGGATTCTTTGTTACCCAAATTGGTCGCTGATTCATTCGCCGCCATGGTCTGCCGGGACTGAGACTCCGAACGAATACTCCGAGAATTACGCGCAGGAAGATTCAGGGCGGTGGTCGGAAGAGCTTGTCGGAGAGCTTCGCGGTGGTATCATGAGGTGCTCATCAAGGTGTTCAAACAACTCTGGTTTGATCTTGCTGATATCAGATTGCCATAATCAATTCAAGAATTGAACTCTCTCATCTGTAGCCATTAAACCGCAGAAAAACTACCGGGGGAACTTTCTCTCTCTAGTTTCTCCACTCAGCCATCTCATGCCTACCCCATTTTACTTTTCTTCTTCTATTTCTTTATTTTTTTTCTTTTCATCTATTTTACACCACTCAACTTTCTTTTCTTTTTTTTTAATTTTTTTCCTCCATCTTTTGAAAAGCAAAAGACACACCAACTGATTTGCACCTCAATACTCTTACTTTTCCTCGTGGGCTTGTGGTTTTTTTTTTTTTTTATCTCTCTCTCTCTAAAAAAAGTGACAATTTTATAGCTAAATAAGCACAAGTGAAAATGTGTTCTTGTTATGCACAAAATGAAAGAAATTATTGAATGGGGGGTCTTAATGGAATGTTCTTTTCCTTCATCATGATTCATAATATACAAAATTAATGTTTTAGATTATTGGTCTTTTCTTGGTTCGATACAGCCTGTGTGGTTACATTGAGGAGGTAATGAACTTCTTGGCCACCACTATAACAGGATGATAGCTTTTACATTGAAAATGGACATTTAAAGCTTGGTTGCAAAGAATCTATCAATAACTAAATACTACATTGAAGATTGATTTTGTTGCCTCAGGCCACAGCTTAGAGGCTTAATTATTTTCTAAGAGGAAAATTATTATTATTTTTATTTAATTTTTTTTGTATCTTATAAATGAGAAATGGGTATTATGTTTTAGCTCTCTTTTGTGGTTCAAATGGGCTTTTTCTAGAGCATTTGAAATATGAAATTGGAAGAATGGATTACATTTTGGCATGCTCTTTTAACAATATTTGTATTTTGCTACCATGAGATCATTACTTCTGTACATTATCTCATTTTTTTTTTTGGGTGCACTAATGCAGTGTTTGGATCTTGAAATTGTATGAGTAATTTCATTTCTCTAACATTTCCCTTTTACTTGACAAATCCAAGATCCAAGCATAGCCTAATCAGTTATGTAGTGGCAAATGTGTGAGGAAATTAATAATACGGATATATTTAGATTGAAATGAAAAAGTAATTGTGTTTAGCATGTGGAATTTGCAGGAAAAAATGGCTGGTGCTGCTGCATATCATGGTCCAAGTATAGTGAAGGAGATCATTTATGGGATAACCCTGGCTCTCATGGCTGGTGGCCTTTGGAAAATACATCACTGGGACCTCCAGAGGAGGACCAGAGAATTCTATGATTTGCTTGACAAAGGTAATATCACCACTGTTGTGGAAGAAGATGACTAGGATGTTTTTACCACCATATGCATATATACCTGGTAATGAACTGAACTGCTTTGTAGAGGTTTAAGTTTTTTGTTTGATGTCAATGTAGGTACTCGTATCCACTTTACTTTTCCCATGTAGATATGCTTCTTTTCTTTGACTGATTCTCTAATGTTGTTAAAATTCTATGCACTGTTAGGGTTGGACTCTTGTGAGCAAACAAAAATATGAGTAAATATGGACTCCTGTGAGAAATCAACTTCAAAATCGCCACTTGATATTGGTTGAAGAATTGTAAATAAGTCTAACCCACATTGGTTTTCTAGAAAAAAAATTGTAGTATTTATATAGGGAAAACTTAGCCGAAGTAGGTTTGAACCACACGAATGCGCGTTGCTGTCCCACCCCAAACTGCACTAGGCTGAGCCAATCAGTTTGTTTGGATAACTGGAGTCCTATGCCTAAGTTACATATGAGTGTTTGGATTTGGCTACAAAATGTTGTGTCCTATGCCTAAGTTTACATATCTTATAAGTGGGTGTTTATTTTTATTTTTATTTTTATTTTTTTGGGGGGGCGGGTTGTGGCTTTTTGATTTTTTTAGGAATTAAAAAAGCTAATGCATTTGGGAAGTTGTTAAAAAAATATTATGTAAAAGGGTTGATGTGACATGTAACTTATCTAGTAGGTGACAAATAATTTAGTGATTTTTTGACATTTTGATTTTTTAAACCAAAAATTGACTTTTAAGTGTCAATCCTCTCATTCAATGGAGGTCTGCAAACAACATCTGGATCCTCTAGAGTGGGAGTTGTCTAGAATTTCTGTTGGCTTATTTTTCCTGCGAAGGAAAATATCATAAATGCGAGTGTGCCAGTAAGGATTTTCAAACGATTGTGTTAACGGTTCTTTTGCCTCAATGAAGAGGACTTCAACATTGCCAAGTGTAGAGAAAAAAAAATTAAAAGAAAAATGAGAGAGATAGAGAAAGACGATTGAGTGAACAATCAAAGTAATAATTACTTACCTCTACTCCTATATTTGAAAATGGAAGTACACAAAATGCTTCAAAAAGGAAATGCTGGAAGTACATAAAATGCTTCAAAAAGGAAATGCTGAAAATAAATGCTTCGAAATATAAATCTATGTTAAGTTACTCCTAAAATGAGGAAAATGCCAAGAAATATTAAAATCAATTGTCTTTGATTTGAATTCTGGATCCTTTACAATATAGCCATTGATATTTATAGAGGAAAAAATACAGCAATAACTACCCATCTCTCCCATCTTCATCATTGTTTTGCTATGTGTCTTTCCACTCATCCACTTTGTCCTTCATATTCTCCATCATCTCCATAACTTCTTTTAACTTCCAAATGAATAAGAGGATGATACGTGTCCTCAAAATAATAATACTAATACTAATAATAATAATATTTTATGGTACCAACATTACCCCCCATAACTTTTTAAGAATGAATTTTCTCAAATTCTTTAAGAGTTGTATAATTATAATGCCAAAATAGGCATTTAATTAATTACCAATTTATATATATTCAACGAGTGGCACATATTCAGAACCTCTCTTATCCTATGGTATGTTCCGAAGCCTTGTAGAGTTTCGAAAGCAAGGAATCACAATCATCCAAACAACTTTCGAAACAAAATGATTGAACCAAAGGACCAAACTAATGATGCCAAGAACCTTCGAAGTAACTATAAAACACCTTCAAAGCAATAGAGAGGAACCAAATCTTGACAATCATCCAAACAACCTTTGAAGCAAAATGACTGAACTAAAGGATCAAACTAATGAACTAATGATGCCAAGAACATTCGAAGTAACCATAAAACACCTTCGAAGCAATAGAGAGGAATCAAATCCATACTTCGAAGCTATTGGTGATGAAGCAAAAATCTCTTCGAAGCTACTAATAGTAACAACAATAGTGACACACTACTTTGTATCAACTCCAAGTGTATATGAATACACACCACACGTAATGAATCCACACAATATTTTCGAAGATATTTTTGCTAAACCAATAATCGGTTTATTTATTTATTTATTTTATCTTTGCAAGTATTTTGGTCAAACCAAACGTTAGTTTTGATTTACATGGTTCCCTCAATTTTGAGGTACATCCATGAGACAAATCCGATTCCATTATTATTAGTTTGGTTAAACGGATTACGAAGAAACACGAAAGTCTCACTAACACTGTTAGGTGAATTTGAACTAATTACAACAATAAGATGAATAGATCTCACCAAATATCTGAACAAACCGTCTTCAAAGCAAAGTTGAAGAAGACATCCAATTAATGAACAAAACCAATGATGTAGAGGGTCTTCGAAGCAAACAATGGTTGATGAACAGAACCTTCGAAGTAGTTGTATTGATCATTCGAAATAGCGCAACTAGTGGTCACACAACTTGGATATGCAACTGATATGGCTAATTGTATTCTCTGCTATCACCATACATGATGCATATATTACCCTAAGACTTAACAAAGTCCAGCACTTGGACTTCCCCAGAAAGAATTAATGATTGTCACCAAAATTGACCAATTAACTAAGAGATAAACAAAATGTCACATTTAATATTATATTTGTTTACAGAAGCCAAGAATGGTGGCCCCATTATTCAAGCACATCTGGCCAAGTCTTTTAAATTTGTAGACTTCATTCAATAAACTTGAAACCAACAAAAACGAACACATACTTCGTGCTTCGTGCAATGTGACACAAGCTTCGAAGGTCACCATAAAACCAAATGGTGATAGTCTTATGGATCAATTAATAACCATATTTTTGGCCCAATATACTGTAATAACAAAATATTTTTTATTAGCCATTCCATCAAAATCAAATTTTGATATGAACCATAAATCCAAAATGGATTTTGAACAACAAAAGTCATGGTATAGTGTGACCATGAAAATTCATACTTTTTGACACTTTGAAAAATGTCAAAACATTTTAAATTCATGAACAGTGACTTGTTCATTATTCTTGACCATGTTTGGTTTAAAAACATGACTTTCGCCAAATTAATTTTCATAATTATTTGACAAAGTTGGTTGTTTTTCCATGTTAGCCATTAATGGCTTATGAAAATCTCCCATAGGTATGTTATTTCCATGACTTGACTCTCTACAAATTGGGAACATCATTCTTAGCCAAATTTGGCTCAAGAATATACTCTTTTATTATGTTAATTTCATAATTTGGTTATTTAAAAACAGGCTCTTGAACCCCCCGAGCTATTGATGAAATCAACTCTTTGTTTTTGCTATTTTCAACCATGGAATTTTTTTGAAAAAATTCACCGATTTCGGCTATTAAAGCCTCAATTAAAGACTTGGTAGTGAGAGTTGACAACTCATCATTCCATTGGCAAATTTCCATATCAAGTTGATGAATTTCCCTAATTAAATGGTGTCTTTTTTCTTTCACCAAATAATATTGTAAGGGATGAAAGTTTATTTCATTAAGAAAATAGATCTCTTCTTGAAGATCCAAATTTTTTTGTTTACTCCAATAAATTTCATCTAGGCTATTTGAAATGGACGAATCTAATTCATTTTTCATTTCTTACACTTGACGTCCCATTGAGCGTGCCAAAAATTGTTGGTTTATTTTTCCTACGAAGAAAAATACCATAAATGCGAGCGTGCCAGTAAGGATTGAAAAATCCTTATAGATTAAATTCAAGCCAATTATCAAGCGATTGTGTTAAACAGTTCTTTTGCCTCAATGAAGAGGACTTTAAAATTGTCAAGTGTAGAGAAAAGAAAAATGAGGGAGATGGAGAAAGACAATTGAGTGAACAATCAAAGTAATAATTACTTACCTCTACTCCTATTCTTCAAAAATGAAGTGCATAAAATGTTTCAAAAAGGAAATGCTGAAAATAAATGCTTCGAAATATAAATCTATGTTAAACTACTCCTAAAAGAAGGAAAATGTCAAGAAATATTGAAATCAATTGTCTTTGATTTGAATTCTGGGTCCTTTACAATATAGCCATTGATGGCTATTTATAGAGAAAAAAAATTCAGTCGTAACTACTTAATAACTACCCATCTCTCTCATCTTCATTCTTGTCTTGCCATGTGTTCTTCCACTCATCCACTTTGTCCTTCATGTTCTCCATCATCTCCATAACTTCTTTTAACTTCCAAATGAATAAGAGGATACCACGTGTCCTGAAAATAATAATAATAATATTTTATGGTGCCAACAATTTCATAGAGTGATTTAAAATGACGCTGTTTTACACTGTTACTGCGACGGTGAGGTTGGGGTAAGGGGTGACTACTGTTAGCGGCTTCTCTTTTTTTTTTGTTCATGTTGTTGCTCTGCTCTTTTTTTCTTTTCTTTTTTTTGGCCTCAAGCAAAATGGTGTCATTTTGTATAAAACGATTTCATTTTGAATCACTCTACAAAACTCTAGACAACTCCCATTCTAGAGGATCCAAACACTTCTAAACAAGTTTTGGCCATGGAAGCAGCACAGCATAACACAGTAGATGATCACATTCCAACAAATTAAAGTATATTTAAATTTTAGGGGGTCCCTAAGGCTCGGCAATATTTGCGGCAGTGCGTTCTCTTGAACTACCCCTGACCTTTCTGCGGCAGGACGTCCTCTAGGACTATCCCTGCCCCTTTGGGATGATTGGGGATCATTGGTTAGGTGTAGCTAAGAAGAAGGGTTCGCCGAGAGGTTGATGTCCTCTTCGAGGGTTTTCCTTATCCTCGGAGAGGTCACCTCCTCGGACAAGGTGGTTAGAGAGAATATTCCCTATGTGCCTTGCACATGGGCTCCATTCTACATTATGAGGTGCCTATAAATAGCACCCACCCATAGCTTTACAAGGGATGGATTTTGGAGAGTAAACTTTTGGAAAGAACTAATTTCCCTTCTCCATTATCAACCTTGAGAGTGAAAGTGGGAGATCCATGGGAGAGCCTTGCCATTATTCTCTCTGTAACTATTTTGCCTTCTTCTTCACCCAATCTCTTATCTCCATCATCTCCTTTACTCTTGTGTTCTTAAGCTGAGACTATTGAAGAATCTAAGGCTCTCATAATCTTCTAGAGACTTTGAAGTTGTTCTTCAAGGATCTTCGAAGATCTTCGAATTTTCCA